TGTATCTAACGATGTACAACGAACTCTTCATTTCAAAATAAAAATTCTAAAGGCGAAACATCTTGAATCAAAGAAGACAGTTTAATTCAACAGTGATTTGCATTATATCAAATTAGATTTTTCTCCATTACAATATAGATTTGATCTTTTACTCAAGTATCTATCTACCGGTCTTTTGAGTCGAAAAATGTATGGCTAAATATTTATTTTACCCGAAAACTGTAAACGTAGCTTTTCGATACGGATTTTTTTTCCTGGACTTGGTGAAATGAAACGAGGTTTATTTATGCGACACTGATTTAATCTTAGAAAATCACATGGTGTAAACACTGGTAGTTCTTTAGTTATATTTTATAAGATCTGAGATAAAACAATATATTTAAATAAGTTTTTCCGTTTCAATAGGAATTTTGACGACTTGGTCTGTACTGACAAGCACGATGTTGTGTTTAGTCAATCATTCAGAATACCAAGACAAGGTATATGAAGAAATTGATAAAAGCATTGGTAGAAGTCGCGCGCCTAATCATTCTGATAAAGTTCATTGCCCTCATCTGGAGGCTCTTGAGCTAGAAGTTCACAGGCTTATCACAGTTATGCCTATCCTTGCTGGCAGAAAATGCACGCGTGATCTCGAATTTGAAGGATACAATCTACCAAAAGGAACTTTGGTAAGAGATCTTGATCAATGACATATATTTATTCCGATCATACATATATAATGACAAAAAGGCTTGTTTTAAACGTGCAATGCAATATTACAGATAAATGCTGTATGTAACGATATAATTAGATGTATAACATATAAAATTCCTGCATACCTCTTTACTGTATACATTTGTTATGATAACCTTTACCTAAAATAAATATTTATGTAAGTTCGTTTCTTGCTGGCACATATATGTCAAGCAATTATTACCAACACAATACGTTTATCATCGTTCATATTTGAGTTTTATGCACATGTTTATCATCGATTTCAGCTAATGGTAAATATTTGGTACATTCATCACGATCTTAAAATATGGGGAGATCATTGGAATTTCCGTCCTGAGCGTTTCTTGGATACAGATTGCCAGCTTCTTCCTAGGGAACACGTGTTTCGGCGGAAGTAATATATCTTCTGACTGAGTCTTATTATTTTTTTATACCCGGACTTAATGAATGTTTTATCAATTTAAGATATGTGAAACATTTAACTTTATACTATATAATGATTTGCTAGTCGTAAAAATTAAATTATTTTCACATGAAAAACAAATCTTAAATTAATTAGATTGATGAGCTTTTAATACACCCTTTAAGTGTTTATTATTTTCAAAAAGATTAAAGCACACGTACACAATACATACAAGTGCTTTATGATTTTTAATAGTTGCTTCCGTTGCTGCTTAAACTTTCATGATTTCCCTCAAATTTATATTTAATTCGTGTAACAGTAATGGTTTATCATTATATTATTTTTTTCATTATATCCTTCGTTTCAGTTGCATACCATTTGCAGTAGGTAGAAGACAATGTCTCGGGGAGCAGTTTGCAAGATCAAGATATTTTCTGTATATGACAACATTGCTGAGAAAATGGAAATTTGTTGGTTCTCGGGAAAATTTGGATCATGTGACCCAAGAAATAGTGCTTACATTGACAACCAGGTCACATATCGAGGAAAGTCCTTCTTCTGTAAAGCAGTAAAACGGCAATGATATAAAACCGCTCGATGTCACTGTCATTTACAATGATGTTTAAAAATTGAGGCATTTTGAGCACTGTACTTTGGGGTCCAACGCACTTATGGGTTAAAATTGAGAAATCGACCCCAAAGTGCGTAAATATGCTACATATCAACGCACTTTGGGTTCCAGAGGTCTAAAGGTTTCATCTTATTCCTGCTTAAATACTGAGTACTGACTTATTTCCAATCTGCGACATTTAAATATTTGAGGTGGAGTTCAAGATGGCGGTCGATACTTTGTTTGATGCTTAAGTGATAAAAGTTTCATTAACTTTACAACTTGAAATATCTAAAAATTGGGTTCATATAACAAAGTACTCTAGCACATACATCGTGGATGTATTCCTAAAATTAAAAGATGCCGCGAAAAAAACCCCGTTCTGTCAGTCATTTACTTGATAACTTTTGATGCCATATTGAGCCCCATTTTAAATATATTAATATATAAATATACTCTATGCAATGTTCTGGTGAAATATCAAGTTTTTCGATCGGACCATGAATAGTGATTTTTACATTATTAAGCTTATCAACAAACTTAAGGGTTTTTGTTGTAATGTGCCAATATGTATTGTTTGGATATTATATAGGAGCACCTAAAAATGAAAAAAAGTTTTTAAGATAAACAAATAAAAGAATAATGAGCCTTTTAAACGTTATTTTCAACCCTCGGGGGGGGGGGGAGGGTCGATACCCCACAATCCCCTCTATACTGCAAGTGAGAATTTTACATTATTCTGAATCTCCGCTCTATGTGCGACTACTTAAATAGTTTATGATATGTTTTGTACTGCCTCTTAAAGCCGCACCTACACCTTGTCAAATTTCTTATATGTCACATTTAGCTAAATAAATGGCTCTTTCAACATATTATCAGGCACGTTTTTTTACTGAAACATCTTACTAAGATTTCCCAGAATTTATACCTTTGTCTATGCTATATCTATCATATTTCTATAAAATGCATAATTAAATAACGGTAGCTAATCAAAGCACAAAAGGTGCTGAATTTATTTGGGTCTCAGAATGTCAGAAAGGTGAAGGTTGTGAGATTATAAATTAATTTGTTTTTGTATAGTGCCACCAGTGTTTTCTAGTGTTTTAACTGTACTAAATTGGCTGTAAGACTAAATACAACACTGATATTCAATTCAATGTTTATTTGACTTAAACAATTTGAAAAAAGTTAATGCCTGAATCAGAATTTTAACTCCAGACCTCTCGCTTCCTAAGCGAGCGTGCAAACCCCTCGGCCACGGTGAAGTTATATTTTAATGGCCTGAAGAAAGCCATATTATTCTAATTTAGGGTTTGTAACCCTTATTATTTCGACGCTAATTGTTGTTTAACACAGATGTAATAATCATGGAGCTTACTATAAGCATGTATATCTATAAAGAATAAAACAATATTAGAAATCTTGGACCATTCGGGAACTATTTTGCTTGAAAATAAATGCGCCTGTCATTTGACAATCTTTACGCAGAGATCTTCCCTGAATTTTTCGGCGTTAGTGTACATATAAAGGGAAGTTACCGCTTCAAAAAAGCGGACTACTTTCGGCATTTGCAATTAACAGCATCAGGGTCTGAAATTTCTCTACCATTATTTGTTTTGTCTGACGACCCAAACAAATAAAAAAAATGGAGTTAATGAAAGGTGTATATTCCTTTAAAATAAATGGACAATTTGAGAAAAAATATATTTTGAGCTTAATAATTGATACAAATTCTTTATTTAATGAAAGTTTTTCACTTCCTGAACAAGACCATTTAAATCCCTATTGATTTTACTATTATTCAGGGCACATGTTTTGCTCTATTTAATACTTTGAATATTGTTTACCATTTGATTTGACTACAATATATTGTTTAAAACATAATGAAAATTAAAATAATTTTTATGACCCCAAAGTGCGGTCGTTTGTCTAATGATAAAAAATGCATATGTACCTGTTTAACGCACTTTGGGGTCGATTTTAGACCCCAAAGTGCCGGACCCCAAAGTACGTGACGCACCTAGAGTCTGACCCCAAAGTGCGTTTGACCCCAAAGTGCGGTGTAACAAGGCATTAATATCTTACACAATGTAAATTTATCGACATACTCACAATTTGTTTGCGGCTATATGAATCAATTGCAGCGCAATCACATGTTATTAACTATCGCACATTTTTAATCAGGACAAATTAAAGATATGTATTACTTAATAGTCATTTTGTTTCATGATTTTATTATTTCCTTTTCAAATTGCAATCTTTTTTTTTATCTTTTTATCTCGGTTTGATTGAACCTGTTCATGGACGTGACTCGAGAGCTACCGTCCACGCCACCTACCCCGCGCTTTAGCAGCAGTCAATATTGAAACATGTAATGAATTAGAACCATCGCGTTCACACGGCGGTAATCATGGAATCACCAATGTGACATGTAAATGTCATTTCATTAAAAGTGGCGAATGGTATCCAAATAAATAATGTTTGTGCCCTAAACGAAGAAACTACGGGCGGAACCTTAACAAAATGGAAGTTTGAAAGGAGATCAGAAGTTATGAAGTCTGCATATCACATATAAGATGTCAAAGAAAAAAAAACACACACACACACACACACACACACACACACACGCACGCACGCACGCACGCACGCACGCACACACACACACACACACACACACACACACAAAAGAAAAGCAAAAACAAAAAGAAACAACAATACAAAACAGGCCAGATATCCTAAGGGTGAATTTACAGAATTCAAGTTAGGAAAAGTTTGTTCCTTGCAAGTTAATAAGCTTACAAACTTTTCATGCTCTTCATATTTTGCACAATATCTGCAATTCAAAGTCAGCCTCACGCAAAGCAGGAAAGAAAAGACTTTCTTACATTCATAATGAACAATCTGCCTTTTTCACGAATATGGAAAATATCAAATTCAAGGAGTAAAAAACGACATACATCAGTACCTTTTTATTTCTTTAAAATAATTAGATCACGCACAATTATTTAATTAAGTTCACTTGTTCAGTTTTTATTTTACTGAAAGTGCTTTAAATATTAACAATTAAAGAGTTCATCACTCGAGCTAAAGTTTAAGGCCAAATCGCTATTTTATCAGTTAAGTACCTGCGTTAGGTCAAATTGTATCATCATAATGCAATGACCTTTTAGTAAATATAGGCTAAAATTATTGTTATATATCAAAGATTAAAGAAGATAAATGAAACAAACGTTCAATACCATTAGAATATACAAATATATCTTGTCAATACCGAACTTAGTTTTGTTATTGCACGACATGTGGCTTCTTTACATTTTTCTGGCAATATTGGCTATCTGGGCTATTTTCAAGTTGAAAGGGCAACACAGAGATAATAGACCGCCTCGTGTAAAAGGTCTGCCAATTATAGGAAATGCACTAGAGATAAATGAAAACAATCTGTTTGATAAACTATATTCGTTTTCAGAGAAATATGGGGAGATATTCGAATTAAAGATTCTGCATCAGACTTTTGTTTGCCTGAATTCTGAGGCTTTGATTCGGAAGGCGTTAACAAATGAGCCATATGCACGGTTTATGAATGAAAGGACTAAGTTTTTCTACGGAGAGGCAATGTTGTATGGCGGTCAAAGTGTAGTGTTTTATGGAGATCCATACAGTAAAGTGTACAACGGCATGCGCAAAGGTAAATCATTTATTTTTATCACTTTATAGCTTTTAAACATCTGTAATAAACTCATTTTGAACACAATGACATTGAATGTTCACAAAAAATTATTTAATTTCAAAAACGTTAAAGGAAATCGCAAAATGCATTAATTATAACAACCGTTTTTCAAAATAACGTTGCATTCAATTTATTAACATGTACAATGTCATACACGTATGTTTAGTTTCTTAAAAGAACAAATCTTTTTAGGCATGATTAAAGGTCTTCATGTTTATGGACAAGAAGGATTCAATGAATTTGAAGAAAACATTCAACTGGAGCTCTGCCGACTTAACAAACAGATTGACTCTTTTGGCGACAATGACTTTGATATGGTGGCACTTATACAACGGTCTTTGACTAACGTTGTCTCACAAGTGGTAAGAAAATTATATCAAACTACGCGTAGCGAATCAGATACTTTTTGGAGGTTCAGGGTGTGGGGTAGGATGGTGGTTGAGGGGCAAACGCCAACTATCAAATACTGGCTTTCATGTGGGTTATCTTAAAGGGTAAGTACCTTTATCTATGCTTCAATCCCCTTGTATTTGTGTGGTCTTGTATTTTTTTAAACCCTATCCGTTGTCAGCATATTTTTTATTTTGTACAAGAAGAGAAAGAGGCTGGAGCTAAAGTAAATATAAAAAAATACAAAAAAAAAACAAAAAACAAACAAACAAATAAAAAATAAAATACTAAAATCAATTTTTCAACATTGCAGCTGATTGGTGAATCATTATCTGACGACGACGCAGATGTTAATATGTTTTGGGATTATATTGAGGGAGTCAATTTCTTTCTCAATGCCAGTGTTAACAATATACTATCATTCATGCCCGTCTTGCGATTTGCTCCAGCCTTCAAAAGTAAATATGACTTCATGAGCAGAGGAAAGAAAACGATTATTGAGAGATTCTTTAAAGGCAGAAAGGTAAATCTAAAAAACTAAAAGCATTTTAAGAACACACTTTTTCAATCGAAAAAAATAAATGTGATTTGGTTATTTTTACGTCGATTTTATTTTGTGCCATATGCTGTAAGAATTAATAAATAGATAAATAGATAAATAAATAAATATATAAATACATAAATATATAGATAAATAAATAAATCCAATGTATGAATGAGACACTTCACAAACATTATATGTAAATTGAGGTTTTTTTCACAATCAAGTAGGTAACACATTTTCATTCGTTGAATAGGATAAAGCTAATGGTTCAACAAAAGGTCTTGTGGATTTCCTATTAGAGGAGCAAAAGAAGGCGATTGAAGAGGGAAAAGAAGTCATTTTTACTGATGAAAGAATTATCAGTAACACCCTGGAGACAGTTGTAGGAGGTAAATGTTTTTTTTTAATTTTAAGTATTTCGTGAGTATTTTAAACTGATTATAATACCTGTTTGTCTGCGTATGAACAGTTTTGAAACAAAATGTAAAGTACAATACTTGCATAAAATTCCAAGTGAAAAATGACCGATTTATGTCAATAATTTTTTGAAAGAAATGTCAGGAAATTAGGATCAAATGCTTACATTGAAAATAGATCTGTACATCTACCTTTTATTTGTAAGGATATTACAATGACTTTCATTTTACTCTGCGCATTCAACAGATGAGTGTGTTTGTGTAATACGATGATCCTCAGCAGTTATACGTCAATATTAAACATCCTTTATTAGGAATATCAGCTACACAGATGTCTTCAAAACATGATCTTCTTAAAAAAAAAGTCACCTTTTACTTTTAATGAAGTAAATTTATTTGAATTTAGTACAAACGGTATCCTTGATATCCTTGACCGTATAGGAAATACAAAGACTTGGGCAAATTTCTCCTGGAATATACTTGTAAAAAGTTAATAATTCAGATTGGGGATTGGGCAGTTGAGACTGGACATTCAACTTAGAAGTAATTTTGACAAGAGCAATTTATTTTGACAATCTCTTGAACTATGATCAAAACACTATACGGTTAGGATACAATGTTGAGTATAATTTAATAAATTATTTTTGTAGAGCACACATCTTTATACTTATATTAATGTTTTTCAGCTGTCTAAGTTTTCAACATAATTTATTACAATGCGATATTTTCTTAGAAACGGGAATAGCATTATGCATAGAACAAAAAACGAAACTGCGTTCAAGTAGTAGAATTTAATCACCCCCTCTCGTATTTAAGTGTGTTTTAAATTCGTTGTTGGATAAACCTTCCCGTAAAATATGTGACATTGAGCAAGAAGCAATGTTTCTGACGTCATTTTATTATTTGACATCATAAATGACGTGCAAGCATTCGTTTTCTATGCAGTGCATATAATATTATATTTTGTCTACGGTGGCACATATGTGACATGTGTATGTTATTATTTATCTAAATTGCGACTTAATTTTCTCGTGAACACGAGATAGTGACTCGTTCGCACGAGCTAAAAAATTCGTACACATGAGTTACTATCTCTTGAGCACGATTTACACGAGCAATTTAAGTCGTGAAGACCGGTTACTATGTCGTATTTGGCATGTATTATAATTCAAGTGAATACCTTAAATTGTTTTGAACCCTGATGTTGCACGTAAAATGTAAAACAAATTTCTTAACTAACATGAAATGTTAACAAAATCATTGTCGCTAAAGGAAAAAGATGCCTTTACTTTTCCTGCATGTCAAAGTTACATACACAGTTACACACACACTTATGCTTTATAAGTTTCACTGTGTCATTGATTCGACAAGATTTTTAACAGTATGTGTCTCTGTGGCCTTGACCGCTGGAATAATGACAAACAATCAATTGGGATTGACTACTGGCCACTAAGGAACTATGGGAAATGTCCCTATCCTGTCAAGTAATAAACCTCATGGCTTATTCATTGATTGGACAAATACTGTTCGTTAAGCGTCATTTTGGACTCAATAACCTCAAAATCATGAGGCCTCATATACTGATCAGGAGCAATGTCCATACTTAGTGATATAAACCAAGGCTTATTTTTTTCAAAGATTAAAGTATGATAGACAAGATCACCAAAAAAAAAGGCGGCGTTCAAGGAACGCAACCCAATACGACCCAGCAACAAGAACCAAAACAATAAAATGAGAGGGCGCAAGGCAGAGCACGGACAGGATAATGATTAAATGATACTTAAAATGAAAAAATAGTAACCGACAAGGAAATTAATGAAAACAAGTAATTAATGAATTGATAGGATCTAAAAGTAAAAGGGCACAGGGAAGCGGATTCGATATTAGGGGAATATTAAAAAAATTATCTAGAGCAAAAGGGAAGATACTAACCATACACGAGAAAACAACAAGGGACACAAAAAGATGAACCAAAACAGTATGAAACAACAGACATACATCTGAGGAAGACAGAGAGGCGCCGCCTTGGAACGGTCATCAGTATAAGCATTTCTGGGGAGTTTAAACCGGTTAATGGTACCCCAACCCTAACCATGTTCTTTAAAACGAGATATTTTAAATAAAATCAACCCTGTCAAGCGAAAATCTAACAGTAGTTATTGTTACAAAAGGTGAAATAATTAAAAGACAGAAATTGTTATGTAGATACACAAAAATCCATAACAAAGGTTCTCAATGTCTTAAAGGAAGACAGAGCAAAAAGAAAATCACCTACCAGGGCCCAACGAAGCAAGAAAGAAGACGAACGTTAAGACATTTCAGTCCAAGTGGGCTTTCACAACTTTCCATCATAGAGTCTTCTATTTGGTTCGTCAGATGTAATTAAAAGAGGAAAGCGTAGTGTCCAACTGTTAAAGGGTTGAACACTGAGCATGCAATATGTCTTTAAAAAGTTGGGTCATAACCTCTTTTAAAAAAACCTTACCATGGCCAAAGATCTTACGAAATTGGTATATCACACCGCCATAAAAATCAGACTGGCTTATCCCTTGTCCCAGAAGTGTTTTCAAATTACTATTGCACTATTGAATTTTCATTAAATCAAAGTTACCATTGTAAATTTTGTAAAATATTTCTGTAGGGTTACATGTCAAACTTTGAGTTTAATCTGATTGGCTAATTATGTTGTGTGAACGACTTAACAATCTCGTGCCTTCGACTAAACAACACACACATACACTCGTACCACCGCAGTAATCTGTTTAATAGGAGTTCAAAGTATTGTATTCATCAATGTAGAACAAACACTTTATTTCAAACTACATATTCTTAAGGCGAAAACATCTTGAATAAAAAAAGATAGTTAAATTTATTAGTGCTTTGCATTATATTAAATTAGATTTTTTTTTACGATTTGGATTTGATCTTTTGGGTCGAAAAAAATACGGCTAGATATTTATTTTACCCGAAAGCTGTAAACGTGGCTTTTTGATACAGGCTTTTTTTCTGGACTTGGTGAAATGAAAACGAGGGTAATTCATGCGATGGTGATTTATGTAAAATCAGGTGGTGCAAACACTGAAAGTTCTTTGGTTACAAATGTGGTTAAGATCTGAGATAAAACATTTCATCTAAATAAGTTTTTTTCCGTTTGAATAGGAATTTTGACGACTTGGTCTGTACTGACAAGCACGATGTTGTGTTTAGTCAACCACCCTGAATACCAAGACAAGGTATTTGAAGAAATTGATAAAAACATTGGTAGAGATCGCGCGCCTATTCATTCTGATAAAGTTCATTGTCCTCATTTGGAGGCTATTGAGCTAGAAGTTCACAGGCTTATCACAGTTGTGCCTATCCTTGCTGGTAGAAAATGCACGCGTGATCTCGAATTTGAAGGATACAATCTACCAAAAGGGACTTTGGTAAGAAATCTTAATCAATGACGTATAATAATGTTAATCATGAATATATAATAACAAAATAAGGCATGGTTTAACCGTGTCATGCATTGTTACAGATAAAAGCTGTTTATAATGATATAATTGATTTATAACATAAATAACTCCTGCCTACCTTTATACTGCATACAATTATTGTTATGATAACCACATTGCCTTAAATTAAAAGAAAATATTTATCTAAGTTCGTTTCTTGCTTGGACTCTTAATTTAAGACCTAGTTTCCTGCAAGCTGACTAATATACACGTTATTTGAAGCATACATCGTATATAGTTCAATCAGTAATTACCAACAAAACACGTTAATCATAGTTGAGTTATATACTCATGTTTATCGCCGATTTCAGCTAATGGTAAATATTTGGTACATTCATCACGATCCAAAAATATGGGGAGATCCTTGGAATTTCCGTCCTGAGCGTTTCTTGGACACATATGGTCAGCTTCTTCCTAGAGAACACTTGTTTCGGCGGAAGTAATATATTTTATGACAGATTAACATCATTTGATCTATACTTGGACTTTATAAATTAAATGAATTTTCTTACTAATTTAAGACAAGTTTAACATTTAATCTTATACTATATAAAGATTAGTTTGTCGTCAACATAAAATTATTTTTCATATAAAAAATGATTTGATTGATGGGCTTTTAATACATCATTTGAGTGTATATGATTGTTAAGAAGATTAACGCAAACGTACAATGCTTCATACATACTTAATGTTTTATAAAAGCTGCTTTCGTTAAACTAACATGATTCCCACCCCCCCCCCCCAAATTTCAAATTTTTATTTAAATCATGTAACAGTAATGTTTTATCATTCTTTCATTATTTCCTTTGTTTCAGTTGCATACCATTTGCACTAGGTAGAAGACAATGTATCGGAGAGCAGTTTGCAAGATCAAGATATTTTCTATATATGGCTACATTGCTCAGAAAATGGAAATTTGTTGGTTCTCCGGGAAAGTTTGGATCATGTGACCCTAGAGATAGTGCTTACATTGACAGCAATCTCACATATCGAGCAAAGTCTTTCTTCTGTAAAGCAGTTAAACGGCAATGAAATAAAACCTCTCATACGATGATGTTTAAAAAATTGAGACATAAATATCAGACACAATTTAAATTTATCGGCATACTCAAATTTTGCTTGCGGCTATATAAATCAATCGCTCCACAATCACGTGTTATTAATAATCGCACTTTATTAATCAGGAGAAATAAAAAATATGTATTACCTAATAGTAAACATATCTTGTTTCGTCAAAAGTTTTTCCTATTTTTTTTTATTCAAAATGCATTATTTTAGAATTTTCAACTGACTTGTTTAGAAGTATTTACTGCGGCGTTCCCAACAAAAAATACTTATTTGTATGTTCTTCTTGTTACAAATGTAATCAAAGAGAGAAAAGTCGAATTATTTAAGATAGTTCAAAACGGCAAAATTGAAACTATTTAGGCTCGGTTTGATTGAACCTGTTCATGGACGTTACTTGAAAGCTACCATCCAAGACACCCTAGCACCGGCGTAAGCGGTTTTCAACATTGAAATATGTAATGGTAAAATTTTTAATTAAGAATTATCCGCAGATGTGTTCATACGGTGGTCCCCAACTAAAATAATGCTTGTGCTATAAATAAACAATTGCAAAATTAAACCAAATGGAATTCTGAAAGGGGATCAGAGGTTATTAAGCCTGAATATCACAATTAAGCTGTCAAAGGCCGGCACATATCCTAAGGGTGATTTTGTAGTATTCAAGTAAGTAATACAGGAATTACCCAAGTAGAAAAAAAAGCCAAATAGAAAAACTAAAATCCCAAAAACACAACAATATTATCGTGTTTCAACGATCTTTAAGTATCGGAAATGTAACATATATGATTGTAATTACGAGGCCATTTTTACGGCCTCAACACGGTATAAACAATGCTAATATGGTGATAAAATAGAGAGTCCAAAATGGCAAAAATTGAAGACTTTGCCTTTATCTGAAAAAACCTGTTTAACATCAATATGTTTCTATCAAATTTTCACTAGACCAGATATCCGCCGGAATAAATATTAGAAATACCAATTTGATTCAAATATGAAATTACGCTTTTAATAGAATATTATATATCAATTCAGTTTTTTTTTCACAGAGGCTCCAATGGGGGCAGTGGTAACAATCATTCCCAGTAGCAAAAAAAAATGGAATCATTAAAATGAAATAAAATAAAATAAATAAATAAATAAATACAATAAAAAATATAAACACAGATATTAATGACAAGAAATTTACTCTCATTTAATCAAAAAGGCACATCCGCTGAGTGAATTATTTCCACTGAAAAAAGCCCTTTAATTAAAAATTAAAATGAATCAATATTTAAAAGAATTACTTTTGATTTTACCGAAAATGAAAACGATGAACGGTATTTTAGACAATGACAATTTATAATCAACAGTGCTCAACATTAGATACTGTCGATAGGCATAAATTAACATATCATATAAAATTATAAAGTGTTGCTGTTATCATTGAAACGTTCGGGCTGGCCATTTGCAAGTTAAAAAAGATCTAAATCATTACATACACACTGGACGAAGACGTTCCCCTATCCGTTTGGACGAAATTTTATTTCTTAACTTATTTTTGTGCATAAATTATGCCTGATCGATAGTATTATCAAATATAGTAAATAACATATACATTCGCAACAATATTAAAATAATAAGAAATATCTGCAGCGGGGGATCTTTTACCACGGACGCTGCTATAACTTATTACAGATACAATATTTTTAGCTCCATACTCCATTACTTCATGTACACGTGTTGGTGAGAAAAATAAATAGCAAGTTGCTGATATTAGTTTTTTACTGTATCAGACTAGAAAAGTTAATGCCGTTATTGATGAAACGGATATGATTACTCATTCACCGCCGTCTAGAAATAAAAACAGATTAAAAATATCTCTACAATAAAATAATTTTTAATCGGTTCTTTTTGGTCACATTGCTTTGTTCGAAAATAGCCTTTGAAAAAGTCATGTCCACAAATTTACACGGAAACAATTTATTTAACATTATTTAACCTGTATATGAAATATCAATATTGATTCAGTCTAACATTATTTAAGCTGTATATTGATTCAATCTCACAAATTTATATTAACATTGCAGACAAACATTGAATTATAAAAACTACAACAGTTCTGTAGTACATAACCATATTAAAGAATGGTAGACAATCGGGATTAAAGCTTGACAGGCAAGCACGAATTATTTTTCTTGTTTCCCCTACTTTCAAGAAATAACGTGTAAGAGTTATAAATGATTTTGTAATACAATTTTTCAAAAGCTGTGCGCACAGACTTTTCAGCTCTGCGCACAGAGTTCAAGGCAGACATGTGAAAGCACATTGTTTATACTTTCAAAAAAAATTACCAGAACAATAGGAAAATTTTGAGATTCTCGGTACAGCGATCTCAAAATTAGAAAAAATCGGTCATTTTTGAGCTAAAAGATTTTTATGATAAAGTTGTAAGAACTAGTGCGAGGGTTTCAGTGCGAGAATCACACCATTTAGATATTCACGATAGCTCAGTCCTATGATATTAACGCAGATATTTAGAGGTACTTGGATGCTGCTCGCCATTATGCGATAATGGCCCTAAGATGTGCATAATGGCCTGAGGGCCGCAGGCCCGAAGGACATTATGAACTCGAGGGCCATTATCGCATAATGGCGATCAGCAACCAAGTATTAACGTCTTTAATACCTATGTCCGAAATACGGCGTGTAGACACCACCGCTAATCTTGGTTGTAAACAAAAACCTGTCATGTAGAGTTTAACCATCCGATTAACTTGGAAAACATGACAACACAAAATAAATATAAGAAAATGTTGTTTTAGTTGTTTTTTTATCGATAAATACAGTATCCTTCTCTTTACATTTTTGTGAGAATTACATTTAGATCAAATGCCAGTTATTTATGAAGTTTTGTGCATTCAATCTTGAACGATTTCTGAGACCGATGTCTAAGTCTAAATGTCACCGATCCAATCTCTTTCCTACTGTCAATCTGAAATTGTTTTTAGAATTTCTGAGGGTCATGTATTGTCTTGCGTTAATAAATCTTTAATGTTACGCTTTGCTAATTGTGATTAATAATGCCATTTAAACTTCAAAATATTTTCGGTACAAGTGTCTACGTATACAATTCATTCAGCGTCAGCAGCCATCTTGAAAGTCACTGAGAGTTGATGACGTCATTCTGAACGTGCGCTCATTCACTCGCCTATTATGGAAAAATAATGCCGAGTAGCAAGGCGGCCATAATGACATAATTGCAAATTGCATAATGACCTAGATTTTGTCATAATGGCCATGAAATACCCTAGATTTTGTTACTATATATAGTAACATAGGTATTAAAACAATTTATTGCTCCTTGACAAAATCTAGCATTATATGCAATATAAAAACAGCATCTGTTGTCGAACTACTTTTTATAAAACCAAACTGCGCATCGAAATAATGCTATTTCCATTACCTCATTTAGTTATACTTTGATTTAAAATAGTTGCATACACTTTACTAAGATGGCTTAATAAAGTTATTCCACTGTAATTTTGTACACTTTCTTTATTTCCTTTTACCTGTTCAGATTTCGGGAAAATGATTCTAAAATATTGTTAAATAGCTCTGTTATATGTCCAGACAAAATATTGATTGCTTCTATAAAATATTCGTTTAAAAGATTATCTATCCCTGCCGCTTCATTACTTTTAAGCATAGAAATTGCCTTAAGTACTTCCTGTAAAGTAATATTTCCATGTTATTCAGAAATAACAGGGTTAAAATCATTAAAATCATTTTTAAAATATTCTGCTCTTTCATTCAAGGAAAAAGAACATAGTTTCAAAATATGTTTTAAAATCGTACAAAAGTATTTCACAATTATTACTTCTCTGTTGCTTTTTTAAAATTGCGTCATGAGTCACGTGGCTTATTCTTTTTGAAATTTTCAAAATTGTTAGTTTGTTGCCATTTAAAAGAACGACGCCTTTTCTCAACAACATATTTATACCTAGCTTAAAGTTGAAATAATTCTAATCGATCAGACTCTGTGTGTTACATATTAAACTGTTTAAGTGTATTTTGTTCAATTGTTTTGCTTCCCAAACCATTTACAGGAATCATCAAATTCAGATAATCAAATCTTGGAAATGTACAACCATGTTTTCAAAAAGAGGATCTGCCACCCCCCTCACAACACTCGTGAATAAATTCACCGTATCATTTACAATATGTACATCATTTACATTACTTTTCAATAATAATTTAAAATATGCAATTTCGCCTTTATTCCAGAACGATATAATTCTTTATCATTACCACTCAATTTGATAAACTCGTAATTCAATACTTTGGAATCGAGTTACACAAAATGTCAAAACTTAAGTCAGCATGGTCGGTGAATTAAATTTACATATATTAATTTTTTTATCATTTCAAAATCTTTTTCAGACGATAATAAATAATCCAGCACCATTGTAATTATAGCTTTCCCGAACGTCACCTAAGCGACCGTTTGCTATTCTAAGGGAGGTAGTTGTACACATCTATCAACATTCGAAACTGCCTCGGCTGTTATCTATAATATTAACCTCGGAAACAATACTGATTGAAAATAATTCTACCACGTGGTTTACAGATGTAAACATTAACAGAGATAATGTAAAACGAATGTATATATTTGACATTTAATGTCTGTTCCGGTACTTCTTATGCTTGAAAGTATGTCTGACAACAATTTGTAATTTAAATATACCCACTGATGTTCAATTTTAAATAAAACTACCAAATGTCAACAGCTTGGTTTTTTTGTACTTTCGGTTTCTATAGCCATATTAGTAAATTAATATATAAATAATGTATTGTTTGCCTTTGTATCTATGAATTCACTTATTTTAGGTGGACTTTTACTACATATATTGGAAATAAACGTGTCCACAACTCCCAGCATTAAATTACAATTTGTTTACATGTTAAGTTTCTTAGCGTAGGTTAGACCGGAATACCGCATCCGTTCTGTGTATTCATACTATTGTATTCGAGGTCCTTATACGAAGACTGACGGAAAGGACCGAGTAGTTGCGATTGGTCTATCAATTTATTACCATATGAATTACTCCCCTTGTCCATTGACAATCTTGGCAAGGGTGTATC